ACGCTAACGAGTTACTGACAGGACATGCCCACCTCCATCTCCTGCCTGTAACCCCCTGCTCAGCTCCACCAACAGTACGTCAGCGGAAGTTCGGTGCCTGGAAACAGATGGAAGATATTTTGGCTTGACAGCTGATGGAAATCATTTGGCTAATGACTAACATAAAGCCAAAGAGAGATGTGGATTTCTGACCTGCTCAGAAGGTGTGATTTTAATCCCCATAAAACAGAGCAATGGAGAACATCAACAATTACTAACAGTGTCGTATGACCACGATGATAAGAGTAACTTCAGCAGTCATGCTTCTGGTATGCAGCAAGTAGAGACCGGCCACGAAATACCGGAGTCATTTCCCAGGGAAAATTCTACCTTACATTGAGTTTTGAGCACTAATTCTCATTACAGTACGACTATCTCAAATTAATCTTGTTATTCTGTAAACTGCCCCATTGGGAGACTGTTGTAGCCGAGCTGTGTCCTCAGTTCTTGAGCCCCCAGACTGACTCACTACAGGCAAAAAACTCTGAAAGTAACGGTGGCAGCAGGAGAACCACACCGGAGTCAGTGGTATGCAAAGAATCATAAATAACAAGGTAGAAACCCATCACCTAGGCTCGCCCTCGTCACTGGCAAAGTAAAACCATCCCCAAGGAAGGGAATTCGCCCCTTCCGTGTGCTCCAGCTTCACTCACCTGCACGTTGCCATGAGCACGGGTTATAATATCAATGCTGTCCCCGTTCTGCTTGTACTCGAGGATGCAGGCGTTATACTTGGCTGTCAGGATGAACAGCAAATCCTTGCTCTCCCCCTGCGAAAGCAGAGCGGCAGCGTGCCTTCAGGAGCGTGGCAGAGCCAGCGGCGCCAGCGCACCCACGCCTGCCTTCTCCGGCTGGCGAGCAGCCCCCTCCCCGCAGCGTACCCACCTTGGGGCGGAAGAGCTCCATGACGGCTGTCTTGCCATACATCCCCACCTCCTTGACGGGCCGCAGCCCCTCCGCTGTCACCACATAGATCTCCAGTCGCGTGTTCTTGGCGATCAGCAGGTTCAAATCCTCTGCCGAGGTGAAGTGGCCTTGGGAAACGGACAGAAGAAATCACTGTTGAGCCACAAAGACGCGACAAAGTGGCACCTTGGGGTGCTCTCACTGAACAATCTGCAGCAATCTGCTGATTCTGGGGAGCGTGGCCTGCACCCTGAGTACCAGCCTCCCTGCAGCACCCCAAAACCTCAGTATCTTCCTCCCGCAACATCTGGGCCCCTCAGCAATCACCTTCCCTGAGCTCTGACTTTCCTTCTTTCCCCAGTGAACCTCATTCCTGGCGGCCTTTTCCCCCACACCCCATCTCCAGAGTGCCCTGCAACACCTCAAAACACCTCGCAGTAAGGCAAGACACAGAGAGCCATCACCGTCACCTCTCCCTGCAGCACCCCAACCCTCTGCTGCTCCATAACCCCCCCAGGAAGTCCACTTCACCCTCACACACCAAAACCCCACTCAGCTCTCAGAAACCTCAAGCCCAGCTCAGGTCCCCCAGAGAAACCCCACTGCACCTCCAGCATCCTCAGTGCAACCCCAGTGCCTCACACCACCTCCAAGAACCTCAACACATCCCCAGTGCCCCACAGCACCCCCCTAAGAATCTCAAGACTCCCTTCTCCAGCTCCGTCAATGCCCCAGAGCACCCCAATAACCCCTTATGCCCCCCCCCGGCTACCCTTGGTGCCTCACAACACGTCTACAAACCTCAGGGCACCTGCAGGGCACTCAGTGCTCCCGCAGCCTCCCGCCAAGATCCACCCACACCCCAAGGCACCACAGTGTACTCCTAGTCACCCCCAGACCACCCCCTAGCTCCCCCCCGCCGTAGCCCACAACCCCCCCCAGGACCTCCACAACCACCCACGGGGCCC